GACACTCTCGCAAAGGCCGCCACATCTCGCCAAGACTTAGATATCTCCCTTCCGATCTCCACGAGAGCAGCCAAGCATCACATCCAAGAGGCTTTCATGTCACAATGGCAAGAAAGATGGGAACAAGGGGACACCGGAAGATACACCTTCGCAATCTTCCCGATCGTCAGGCTGTCAAGAGTTTACTCGAACCACTACACGGTTCAGGCCCTTTCCAATCATGGAAGGTTTCCCCCAATATTTAGAGAGGTTTCTACATTTACACGTCAAGTGCAGTTGTGGATCACCCGCCAGCACAGCAGATGCCGTCCATTACATCACTTCATGCCCACTCACCAAGTCGCTTAGATCTCCAGCCAACACCGCCCTACTCCATAGTAAAGGTCTCAGAGGTTACCTAACGGATTTCTACGGTCTCCAGGAAGTAAGACAGATTGTCAGCTTCGTCAATGACAACAAGACCATCATACAAGTCATACCAGGTTAAAACCTGACGATATGTAAAAGGCAGCATGCCTTATATAAATATGTAAATAACTCACTTTTTCATATATATATTCAAATTACTAATCAAACTTGTTTTCACTAATATAACTATTCAATGTAAGTTGGAAAAACCAACATCAAATTGTATTTATAAATGTAATTTGCTTTGTAATTAATTAATAACAAGTTAACTTTTAAATGCTTATATAATTTTATATTTTATAAACGTTAAAAATAAATCATATCTATATAAAAGTCTCCATCCATACTGCCTTTATGAATTTTACTTTTTAGCCCAAATGAAACAAACAACCCTTTGGACGTAATATAAAATCTGAAAGCTTCAGGTTTTTTTTTTTTTTTTTTTTTTGTTTGTTTACTTATTTTCAATTTTGGTAAAAAAAGGATAAAAGTCTTAATAATTTGGTCTGAGAACTTGAAAGCATGAAAGAATATTGGGATAAAAACCAAAGACGTATGCATATTTTATTAAAATTTACTATGTAAAAATAACATTTATAGTTATACCTGAATTTTTAATGACAAAATATGAAGGAACTCGCTTTTCTTTATATTAAAGCATATTATAAAAAATATACAAACACTTATCTTAATTCTTTAATATTGTATAATTTAAAAAACAATATAAGGTCAACTAACATTAATAACTGCAATAAAACTCATTGCAGACTGCAAATCATGTAACAGATTTGCTTTATGTATTTAATAGAACTGTAAGATTCTAGCTAAATTAATTTTTAAATTAGCTGGCTAGATCTTTACTTAAACTCTGAAGCGACTATTCATTAAGTTCAACTGCATCAATGAACATATATGCAAAGGGTGAAAAGGCCCTTTTATTCAATTCAAGAAAATATTAACAGTCGGCATTCCTGATGCCTGCAAAACTAAGCCAATACTTATAGCTATAACTCAATAAAATATAAAATTATAATTAGCCTAAGTCAAATAATCAGCTGAAGCTGCACAGAAATGATTAATGCATGCTAGCACTTAGCTGTACTACTGACGTAGACAAACTGGTAAATAATATGCATTGCCGGAAAATGGCAAGCTTAAATATCAGCGAAACAACGTGGCCGAAAAGCAGAACATGCTCTGTCTGAAGTAATTTAAACATCAGCTTAAATAGTACAGTCAAAAGTCTTTAATCCGGACTCGTCGGGATCCGGCGATTCCGGATTATAGATCATCAGTTTAAATCTGGTAAGATGGCATGCAGAAATTATAAAATTAAAAATATGAAACCGTATTTTATGAAATAAAGAGCAATTATGATCTAAAGGGTATCAAAATTTACAAAAAAAAGCTTAATATTTATTTGTTTACTTTATTAAACATTTCTTTCAACGCTCGCATGCGTAAAGCATACATTACGCATAGTCGAAATAGAAAATTGGAACCAGAAAACTATTTGATGTGTATTCGTGATATTTATAATGACGAGGAATTTGATTTAAATCATATCAAAGACGGAGTACATCGAGATGAACTACTACCAGAGTCGTAGCTAGGGTTTTCAGCGCACAGGGACAACTGAAGATTTCGCGCCCCCTTCTGCTTGCCAAGGATGGAAAACATTTAATTCTAAAATGTCGTAACATCAGTTTGGCGCCCCTTGGATTCTGCGCCCGGGGTCAGATGCCCCCCTTGCCCCCCTCTAGGTACGAACCCGACTACTACATTTAGTAAGGAAATATAAGTCAAATAAAATAAAAGCATCTGCCCTGAAGATAAGGATAGTGCTGACAGATCAACTTCCAGTTCATTGCGCGCCGCGACGTCCCCCCCCCCGCAGAGCAGCCTGAAATTGATAAACAGATTTCGGAATGGTTAGAGAAACAAAGGATATGCCTTTATCCATTTTTTGCAGCAATTCCACTTTTTGTTTGATGGACATCGAAGCATGCTTTCGCTTTGTAGATCCTTTGGCAGCTCCAGAATCGGAAATTCTTTTTGACATAATCGAAAGTTCAAGCTTACTTTTATAAAATTGCTCTAACAGTTTGCAAAACATAATAAGCCGGATATAATTAGAAGATTAAGGAACAACGTAATCTGCAACATTAACTGAGATTGATAATTAGATAATTTTAGCTTAGCTTATACCGTCCATTATACATTAAATGCGTAAACATATTATGCTGATGCGAAACCCATATGCGCATGCGCAGAAAGTTTGTAGCTTTGAGGTCCGGATTAAAGAACTTTGACTGTATAATTCTACCCTACTTTGCACAACGCGCGAAACTGAAATATCATTCTGACAAGAAAGCTTGGGTTGAAAGCAAAAGGAAAGGTTATTTCAAAATAAAATTAACTGTTACGTAAATTAAATTTGAAAACCTGCTCACTCGCTAGATTTAATTAGGTGAGATAGTGAGGTAAAATACATCTCCAGTGCTTAAATTAATATTTGAACTAAGCATATCCCTCAAATTAAAAAGTATCTCAGCTGATGCTGTTCTAAAATTTGTTTGTGAACGATATAATAATCAGAGTATGCGATGACTGATATTTTGATCGACTGTACGCAAAATTTGAAAAGCAGTAATTTACTTACCTTGTTTAATGGATAAATATATTTACATACTACACAGAGGGCAATACTAAGAGTTACAGGTATAATAAAATTCATTGCAGATTCAGGTACATACTACACAGGGCAATACTGAAAGCTACAGGTATAATAAAATTCATTGCAGATTTTACTTTCTCATTGATCTCATCTGATTTAACACACTTTCGGTGAAAAACGCTATCGTTTGTCTTATTTTGTGGTACTGTATTCAATGAAAATGCGGAATTTCTTTTTGTTAGCAGAATATTATTCCAAATACTGTAATAATTACATCGGAATTCAACACAGTCCCTACTTAATTCAGTGTATTCATACCAGCCCTCAAGTGTGTAGATGCCGCAAGAATAATTCTTTTCGACAGGTACGCAGCCACTCATGCATCACCTGTCAACTGATCGTCATCCGAAGATAAGTCAGAAATTAATTAGTTTTCACTTTTATAATTTGCTACTTAATAATAGACACTTCAAGGCCGTTGTGAGCCTCCTCTTCCAGTTATTTTCTCCGTGCCGTTTGAGGCCGCCTTCATGAAACGAAACACGTTAAACAGAAGTGAAGGAAAAAAAAATTAAGAGACCTCCACCATTTTTTTTTTGCAACTGTCGTTCTATGGTTACTAGTCAAACATGGCAGCGGAAAATAACCTTGAAGTTCCTGTTTTAAAGTAACAGACTGTAATGATGATACGCTGTAGCTGTGCTTTACCAGCAGCCTGTATGAGCTCTTAGCAAGCACTGACAAGTCTTTCTTTCATTTCAGGTAGTATTAAGACCTTTCATATCTTTCTGACACTTTTGATGAACTCCATCTCGTCATGCATCATGTCATAATGTGAAGCAAAGTTAACGTCCAGTAATGATGTCACTTTCTTGATTATGATATGTCAGTTTTCTTGTTTCATTTCGCGTTACTGATGGAACCAGGCGAGGAAAATCTTCTACACTAGTCTGGCTGGTTTTAATCTCAGTCCTTTCATACGTTTATGTAAGATTCACATTTGTCATCATACTGAATTCTCACACTGTTACGACAAATATGCTGGATTTTACTCCTTTGTTCAGCAAAAATGTCACCATACTTCAATGTCTTAGCACACTGTTCTACAAGCACTGCCATCTTGTCAAACTATTTTCCATATTCCTTTTAGTGCAGAAAACGTTTCATGTTGATGGTTCAAGATGACTGTCTTGCATATCGGAAACAACGATAACGTTATACATGTGATTTGTGATAAAACTTTTTCTGCCGAAAGAACTAATACAGCGAAAATGGAATTACTTAGGTAAATGGATCGAGGAAGGTTACATAAAAAAATTCTAGCACATGAAATTTCTTATTACAGTCAGCTCCTGCTAAGCCAGAGTAACGGATTGCAGATTACACGAGCTGTTTCTAGGAAAAAGTTTATTTATTGCTAAACAATTAAAAAATTGCTATCATAAACCATAAGAATAAAGCAAAATATGTATGGTAAGTGCAAAAAGGCGAGGTGGGTAACAACAGTGACAGCAGAGGATGTCCTAATATTTTAAGTTTCTTTTATCTAAAACATTACGTAATTTAGTTGTATAAAATCTTAAATATATTGACATTGTTAAAAATAAGTTGATCAACCTTGAAAAGTAATCAAAATTAAGTCATTAATCTTTATTTTACATTGATTCCTATGGAAATTCAAGAGTACATATAGATATAAAAACTTTGTTTTTTCTGTATGGTGTTCATGTTTTGTAAATGTTCATGTTCTGTATGGTGTTTCCTGTATTATCTAATTTCTCTCAGTTCAGTCAGATTTTGGTTTAACCATGAGCCTACCGTACTCAAATTTTATGTATTCCTATATATTTCATTAAAACAAACAACTTGTTAAAGTAATATATTTTACAGAATTAAGTGATTTTCTTTCTCTTACCTGTATAAGAGGAACTATGAGAGCTATGAACCAAAGCGATGGAAATAAAACTCTGTAGCTGATAACAATAGCTGTAGGTATTTTATTCAAAAATAGCAATGCTGTACCTGTAATGATAAAAAATTTGCTTTTTATCCAGTAAAAAATACTTAAACTAATATCAAGCAAGCCTGGAAAATGTCACGCTAACAATTAAAAATTATAATACTAAGTATGCCAACCTTTCCCGATCATTTTAGCTTATTTTGACTTCTACTTCGGCAGATTGCTTTCGATCATAATTTACAGATAATTTTTTGCTATCGCATTACACGTAGGGAGGAAACATATGTTTCACGTGAGGAGGAAACATAGTTTATAGCCATAAAATTACTACTTATTTTGGAAATCAAATACGACAGGAAATAATCAGTGTTCAGTATTATTATTCCTTCATCAACTGCTTTAATAAAATCTTTTGTAATAATGGTTTATTTCCTCTCTGCAAATAAAGTGAAAATTATTTTGCAACATAAACAGACGAAACACCACGAGGAAAGTGTCATAAAACAACATAAAAAAATACACAATAAAATGAAAGGTACAATATGCACTATATAATATAAAGCCGCAAAATAAAAGTAATACAAATCAAGGAGCCAAAGGAAAGCGTAACAAAAATACAGTGTCCATTAAAAAAGTCTTCCCGAATTTTAAACAGAAATAGAAATGCCAGTATAGATCTTATTACAAATTTTATTTTTTCACCTTACAAAATAATAGTTATTATTACTTAAGTGTTCCGTCCTAAGGCACTACACAGAAGGGCCTTTGTGGAGGATTTTCTAAGGGAAACTGGCTCGTATTAAAACGTTACACATGGGATTCGAACCTCGGACCGAACTACCAGTGTTCAGAGACTTTACAGCCTGGAAATGTTCTTCTCATAACTGCATGTTTTCCTTAGGTTATTTAAAAATTGAAGTCTTTAGACGCAGACCGCAAGTATCACTGAAAGATGGAATTCGTATTGATATCGCAGCAATACCGAAATAATGACTGGACACATATTATCGAACTTATTGATGGGTTTTATGAGAGGTCAAACAGTTCCACAAATCCGAAGATAAACTGATGACTAAGTGATGACAAATATTGTTCTGTACAATGATAAAATAAAATTTGGGTTATAATCTAATTTACTCTTTTAATTTCTATTTTAAATAGCGAAAACCCTTTTTTGGACTCTCTAGATTGCAGTTAAGAACATATACATATGATTTTACCGATAATGATGATGAATACTGTCCTATCTATAAGGCATATCTTAAGAGGTCTGTTGCAGATAGGAAACTGAAAATAAAAAATTTCGATCTTTTCGCTATCAGTGATATACAGTGGCTCAAACAATTGGGAATACATCTTACTTTTATTTGTTAAATCTAACTTCCAATATAAATAAAACATTACCAAGAAACGGAAACATGTTTTTACTTTTACTCATAACAATTGATTTCGTTTAAAGTAAGAACAAAGAACAATCAAAGAAAAAATCCTAAAATGAAAAATTTCAGAAGCATTTTATAAAAAAAAATATGCTGATTTTTTACTAAAAAAAATTGAGAATACACCAATAAAAAATCTGTTTAACTACCACTGCATATTTTCTACGTGACTTTTATTTTAATCTAGTGTTGCGTAATCTTATCTTAACCTTTTCACTTTTGGGATGAAGTTTGTTATATGAACTTAAAGCCACACCTTTCAACAAAAAATGGCCCGTCGAAGAGAAAGCAGTATTTGATGTAAGGATTTCATACTAAAATTATACAAAACAGGAAAATCTTATCGTGAAATAGCTAAATTTGTTGGTAGAAGTCACATTTGTGTCCAGAAAATCATGGCGCCAAAAAGAAAATTTTGAAAGATATCAAGATTGATGCTAAAGTAAGCGCACTCAAACCTGCTGCAGAAACTTCTCAAATCATTGGCAGAATTGTAAGTGCGAAAACTGTGCGAAATGTAAGTAGGCAAGCTGGGATGTAAAAGTAGAGTTGCTTAGAAAGAAACCATTCATCAGCTTGTAAAATAAGGAAAAACGTTTGGAGCTTGCAAAAACTCATCAACTGAAGATGAATAAATTTTGGAAAAAAGTTATATTCACTGATGAAAATAAATTCACATTTTGGGCAGTGACGGTCGTCGCACCCTATTCAGAAAGCCCAACACCGCTTTGGATCCGAAAAATTTACATCCTACAGTTAAACATCGTGGCGGCTGTATTTCTTCCAGCTGGGGTAGGAAATTTAGTTTTTATAGATGGCATTATGAATCATATGGTTTACTTAGATATACTCCACAATAATCTAAAAGAAAGTGCTAAAAAGTTAGATTTAGATGGAAATTTCATATTCCACCACTACAATGACCCCAAACACATGGTGCATAACGTCAAAGTGTGGGGTCTTTTTTTCATTGGAAGTAGCAGTTACACACACCACCATAGTCCCCAGACATCAATATACCTGTGGGTCACACTCGAAACAGCGTTCTAAAAACACAAAATAAAAACAATGCGTATTTAAAACAAGTGTTGCAAGAAAAAGGGTATAAAATATCTTCAGATACGACGAAAGGTTTAGCCGAATCGGTACCACGACGTCTGAAAGAGATCTTAAAAGCTAAAGGACATGCAACAAAATATTGACACTTTTTTTGTATGCGAGATATCACAAAAATTTCATTGGTGTATTCTTAATATTTTGAGGTAAGAATTTGGATATGTTTATTTAGAATGTTTCTGAATTTTTTGGTTGGTAGTTCTTTATTTTTACTTTAAATTAAACCATTTGTTATGGGTAAAAACAAAAACGTGTTTACTCTTCTTGATAATGTGTTATTTATATTAAAAGTTAGGTTTATTAAGTAAAAGTAAGGTGTATTCTCAGTTGTTTGAGCCGTTGTGGGTAAAAGGATAACTGTCTTACTCGGAGAACTTTCCAAGAATCACATCATCCATATGCATAAAATCTTTTAAAATAGACTATAAATTCTGCATACTTAAATTTATAGACTTCATTATTAATGCCAACGCCAATGATTTGCAAGTTTCGGAGTGCCTATGGTTCAAAACCATGTACCTCCACATCAGAATTACTAAAAGTGAGCAGAAATAGGACTTCATTATTAAGCGACAGCTCTTCCAAGATTATGACATTTTATTTATGATTTAACTAGTCGATATTAAAATTTACACAGTGCAGATCTCAATCCCGCTGACTTATCAGTTATACATCTTATTTTATACATTACCTTGCCCTGCAAAAAAGAACCATGAAATGCAGATTCTTAAATGATGATAAAAGGAAAACGATATGAAACTTAATATATTTCCGAAGTATAGTAAGCAACTTGCAAATATAGTATTCATGCCAATATCAGTTTGTTTGTTCCTATCTATTGGTATAAACAGGTTCCTTTTATTTCTTCCGAGTTTCATTAATTTAATTACGAACATTACAAAAAATTTTAAAAAGCGGATTTATTTGATTTGCTCCAGAGATGGCGCAGTATGAACGATAACCTGCCTTGAACATGCTAAAATCCAGGTGAATTAGAAAGGCTGGATTTGCCGGATAATTTATTCTCAAAATTTACCGTTATGTAATTTCGCAGTTGTGGACATAATTTCGAAGTAGCAAAATGGTAAGTAGAAGATTATGTTCAGGTCACTTTCGAGTTAAAACTTTACATGTTAAAAATTTTGCAAGTGTAGCAAAAGTTGGAATTCCGTTAGTACAGTGAAAAGGAAATTGCATGCATTTAGTTTTCATGAACGAAGGCCAACCATATTCCTTCGCCAACCTTATTCCATTTAAAAGTCACAATTGCCTGATTTCGATGATATCTATAGCATATGATTCGGAGCACAGTATTCCTCAGACACAAATCCAGATTTCCTTTGCAGAATCATGACAGATAGATTTTCATTCGGGAGCAAATGCTGGCATGAGATTTCAAGCGACTAAGAATATCAAACAGCACTGCTTCCATAATAGCAGAGTCATTATGTGGGATGACATTTACCTTGGTGACGGTGGCTACATTCGTATCTTCGAGAACTTTATTATAATGCCACACAAGTTTGGTTTGGTTTATTTAACTCTTTGAAATCCAGACCCTTTGCTAACCTATATCCTCAAAATACCGGACCGCCCGAAATAGTTTTCCAGTTTCATAGCAATTCCCTCCCCTCCACGTCCATTAACGCAGAAAATAGGTGTGAAGATTTCCAATGACATCCTTTGTACTTTCTAACAAAGATTCCATTAGCCTTTGACCCCGTTCTTTATAAAACTATTCTGAAGGTCAGACCAACAAGCCTTTCCGGCTTTGTTATGATCACGAATGAGGTTTTGTTTATTTCCGTTATTTTTATAGAAAGGAATAAATTGTTTAAAAATAAATATAATCCTTAAATTTTTAAACTGCTCTTTTATTTAAAGCTTAAAAGCCCACTGTACCACAAAAGAATCAACAACGAAATGTCACGAGCAACCAAAAGATAAGAACTTACTTAGGACAAGCTGTCTGCAGTAAAGTGATACAATGCATTTGGGAAAATTGCACCTGCTACTGTATACCTTAGGAGGAGGGAAGAAAGTTACAATCTCGGCCGTTTTCGGGCGGTTCTGGTTGTTTCAATGTAGGGCCGTGTCTAGCGGATTGGATGTGAAGGAGTTAATTATAAGGCAATTTCTAACGAAAGCTGATTCGTATCAATGTTACGAATGATGGAAACTTAGAAAATGCCAATGTATCCAGCCCGTTCGCCAGGAATCTAACACACATCGAACTATCAGCACAAAGATATCGAAAGATATCGAAATCCTTCCTTCGGATTTAACGTTTTGCTGTTGCACCCGATCAATACTTTATTCTTACAGACAACGACTGACGCTACATTCGAAGGGATCATACACCTTTTTAACATCAGCTCTTTATCATTTGAAGACATTGATCATTATTTCGATTACCATTTGTTTTATAACATTATATCTTATCTGCTGAAAATTGTAAATCTTAAATTCTTGTTGGAAAGACTTTTAGACGCAAAAGGCTAAAAATTACAATACTAATTCTGCGTTTATGGCCCAATTTAGGCCACAAAATAGCAATAAAATACTCATTTGGCTCACCCCTACTTGAAATATACTATTCTGCTGCTATAGCGACATCCACCAATTAGTATCAGATAGAATAGCGAGAGTAATTCTTTTGTAAATAATAGGAAGACAAAAAATAAAGTAGCACTTTCTACACTCATGTCCATAAATTAAGGATAATGCAAAATCGGGCAAAGGAAAGTTAGAAGCAAAACAAATTTGACTTATTTGGAAAGCTTATTTATTAAACAAAAGGTAAAGAGCAAAAAAAGATGCTATATATTTGATATTATTACAAAAATTAGCAATTTTTTCTCCCTGGAGCAAAATACACACACACACACAAAAAAAAAGCCTATTTACAAAAAACCAATATTACATGGTTGGTATGATTGTTAATACATTGTATGTCTCCTAGACGATGCAATACAGTCCGTACAACGCCTAGGCATGCTGAGTATCAAATTATCGATCTGATATCGGGGGATATTACACCACTCAAAAAGCAGTGCTCTCCGAAGTTCCGGTAGACATGTAGGAGGAGGTTGACGAGCTGCAAATCGTCGGCCAAGTATCTCCCACACGTGCTCTACTGGATTCAAGTCCGGTGAGAATTCTGGCCAGTCCATACGGGTGATATCCTCCGATTGAAGGCATTCGCTTACGATGTTTGCACGGTGAGGCCGGGCGTTATCATCCATAAAACACAAATTGTGCGCCCATGGCGCCCCGAAACAAACGTACATGTTGTTCCAGAATGATGTCCCGATAGATTCGGCTTACCATGGTTCCAATTTGAACATGCAGGTCAATTCTGGAAACCAAAATAATTCCACCCCAAACGAGCACTCCTGCACCACCGTAACGGCGTCGTTCAATGATGTTTTCTTGGTGGTAACGGGTACCTGGAGCTCTCCATATGAACGTCCGGCGAGAATCAGACTGCGAGCTAAACCTGGACTCTTCGGAAAACATCACACAAGCTCACTGTTGCGGTGTCCACAATGCATGCTCTATACTCCAGGCTAACCGCAGGCGACAGTGAGTTGCAGTAAGTGGAACGCATCTGACAGGTCTCGAGCATATAGACCAATCTGCCGTAAGCGTCCGTACACGGTCTGCCTTGAAACTGTCGTATCAGTGGCTGAAGAGAGCTGACGAGACAGGTCTGAGGCTGTGATCCGCCTGTTTCTTTTGGCAGTAACTGCCAAATACCGGTCCTCATTCGGCGTTGTAACTCTGGGGCGACCTGTGCTGTAACGTCTACTCACCTTACCATCATGTTGGAATCGTTGCCAAAGCCTGGAGATGACACTCTGGGCAATTCCAAGTTCGTCTGATACTTCCAATTGGGTACGCCCACATTCCAGACGGCCGATAATTCTACCACGTAAAAAATCATCCAAATGCGTCCTTTATGTCATAACTATTCGGTTATTGCACTAAAATGCTTATAAAGCGCCTGCGAACAATTTTACTTCTTTGCCTGTATTCCTTATATATCACTCTCTTACACTCTCGTCATTGTGACGTACCCTCGGTGTCATCTGGTTTCTTCCTGAAATTTGCATATGATTCTTGAAGATGTGTGTAGTGATTTTACAGGTGATATATTTATTTTAGAGTTCGATTTCCACGTGACTCCGAATTATCCTTAATTTATAGACATGAGGGTATTTGAAAATATTTATGATAGAAAATTGAATGTACGAAAAGTTTTTACTTTTTCCTTTCAGATTTATTAGCTTTGCCGATATTCTTTTCTTTTCCACTTATAAATAAATAAAATAAAATAAAGTGTACTAAAATTTATGCTGTGCTTGAAGCAATTCCATCACATATGAACATAGTTTTAATAATTAGTTCCAAATCTCTCTTTCTACCAAGCACACACCAAAGGCAGTTTTGAAAAAACATTTTCTTTAATAAACTGTAACCATCTTTTATTTATGAATATAAAAGTCAATTATGTCAGAGTTATCTGGCTTAAGACAAAAGCCTTCGCAAAAAATTTTCAAAGAAAAATGGCCTAGTTTATAAAATGATTAGCACATAAATATACAATTAAACGTTAAAGATAAGAACAGTTGGCTTTATCTTTGATAAGTAATATAATACTGGCAAGCCTTACCTAATATCGTGAGTTCTGTGAAATTCACAATACAGAGACCCATCATTTTAGCCACATTGCCGTTTAAGAGGCTTATATATTCCCTTACACCTAATATGTCCTATGTTTTAAAAAGAAAAGAAAAATCAATCTTTACCGCTAATGAGATAAAAATCTTAATACGATATTATGGAGAATATATTTAAAAGATTTGCCATTTTCAATAATAGATAAATATTTCTTACCAATCATGCATTGTTATGTCTTAATACTGAAGTAGATTAAGACCTACTTAATTCAGTCCCTATTCATCCGGATGGCCAATGAATTTTTAGTAACTAACCTTTAATATTAAATATTCGTCCAGGTTAAAGGAATAAACTAATATGCCATCTATGCAGCTAAATGCTTTTACAATTTCCTGAATAAAGGTTTAGAACACCGCTGATGTAAAAGGAAAAAGAGGACAACAAACATTATAGAATTTTAAATGCGTAAACCTGAAATCAACGATTTTTAATTTGGGATTGTTCTAGGAGATACTAAAACTTCAGTTCTGACAAATTTCTGGAAGAACGTATCATAAATGAAAATGTAAATACTGAAATATTCAGATGGTGAGACCTAAGACTTTTACGAAACACCGGGTAAATGTGGTGAAGTTGCGTCACTAGAAGACAGGATGGACTTGGCCCAAGGCGCAGCTAGAGGAGTACGTGTTTTGGGGTGTCATTTTTCATGTGAAATATATTATAAGAGTTAGTCAGATTACTAGATTATAAGAGTTAGTTAGATTTTTAGAACAACTAATTCAAATAAATTAACTCTTTGAAACATTTGTTTTAAATCTTGTTTAGTTCGCCTCGGATGACGTTGTGTACTGTATGTTTGTCACAAGAACAAGCTCTCGACAGATAGTCTGCAGATGTATGTTGCCATAGAAACGAGCTCTAATCCATTTTTCGTAGGAGTGTTTTGAAGAATTGCTTTTCAGTTTGTCATCATGGCGCACTTAATGACGAATCGACTTTCTCTAAACTCCTTTCCCCATGCCAACATTCGCCCAAAACAAAATAGCAATAAAATACTCATTTGGCTCAGCCCTACTTGAAATATACTATTCTGCTGGTATTAGCGACATCCACCAATTAGTATCAGATAGAATAGCGAGAATAATTCTTTTGTAAGTACACACAGTAACATCACGTTCGTTTTCAAAAAACATGCACGTAATCAAGCTATATAAGAAGGCCTGTTCTACTTACTGCCAACGTGGCACATTTGAGAGTTTCAATAATTATTTAGGCGTAAAATTTCAGGCATTTAAAAATTTGTATAAAACGAACGGCTTTTAAAATTAGATATTTTATGTTTCCTCATGAATAATAGGCTAAAAACTGGTAGGATAATTGGAAAAACAGACAATGAAAGAAAAAATGGTGAGACGAGCTCTTCGATTTCGGCGCTATAATTTCCGATACCGACCGAATACCTTTGAAGGCTTCTGTCTCTACAAAGACCAAATATAAAAAAAGTAAAAGCAAACAAAGGAGTTTTTAAGTTTGCCAACGAGTTTATAAAATATGGTTTTCTACGTAATGAAGCTGATGAACCAAAAGCTAGATAAGTCTGGCAGTACTGTCAAACTGAAACCAAATAAACTGCAGAGGATTCTACATACCGAATACCCACAATACAAAGATAAAAACATTACATTTTCTCCAGATATTAAGAAAACCAGCAGTGGAGGCCTTTTATCGAGATAGCTATCGTGTATAGCTAGAACTGAAATGCTATACACAAATGTTGAAGAGTTAATTGGTCCAGTTCCCCAAGATATAGTAGGCATATATTTGGCGAAAAGGAAAAGCAACAGGTATATCAAATACCACTCTCAAATATAATAATTGGTTGCAGAATATACGAGATGACTGATAATGTGGAAAGCAAACTTATAAAAAAGTAAATTTTTCAGTTGGATGAATCCACTGATTGACAAGGCGTTACACAACTAATTTGTTTTGTAAAATATGAATACAAAAATGAGGTCGTTAAAAATATTCTTTTTTGCAAGGAATTACAAGGGATTACGAAAGAAGAAATTTTTAAATTGGTAAATTCTTACATCGCAGGAAACTATATTTCTTGCGAAAACTGTGTGGGGGTATGCAGTGATCGAGTTTGTGCCATGGTAGGAAAACACAAGAGATTTCTAGAGCGAATCAAAAAAGTCTCTCACCATATAGCACGGATTCAGTGAATCGTCGAGAGAGAAGCGCTCGTATCGAAAAATGTGCCACCAAACTTAAAGTATATGTTAGCTATTAGAGTTAAAAATAATAAATTTTTGCGAATATACTGAGAAATGGACGGTGAACATTACCAGTTTCTTTTACATACAGAGGTGTTTTCGCTTTCAGGAGAGGGATCCTAATGAAACTATTAAATTTAAAGATGAAGTATTTGTGTTTTTAAGTTACAATGATAATTATAAAAAACTTTACAGTTTTTGACTGATGAAGAATGGCTATGATATCAAACTGAAACCAAAGCTTTTGCAAAGAAATTGATTTGTGGTGCTGATACTGCAGGGAAATTAATTTTGCAGCCTTTCCCATTTTAGAGAGTTTTGTTATGGAAAACAAACTAAAAATTGTTCAATCGATTATGAAAGATCTAACAACTCACCTGACGAATCGTAAGTATCATTTTAATACTTATTGTCTGGAAGATTTTTCTGACTCAAAATGGATCCGAAATTCGTTTCAGTGTGTGTTGCCCAAAAATTTATGACTCCATTTAAGGGAAAAACTGAGTTGGATCTGATAGAGAGTTAAAATTTGTTTTCAAAGAGCTTGAGTTGAGCGATTTTTGACTTAAAGTTCTTAATGAATATACAGAACAGTCTAATGCAGCTCTAAAGGATTTATTATTGTCTCATCTTATATGTCTCTTCTTGTTTGTCTCATCTTATATGTGCGACATGGGATTCTAAAATCTGAATACCGAAACAAATTAGCAGTAGAACCACCTTTAAGATTTGAATTGAACAAAATAGAGCCAGAAATATCACTACATGTAAGCAAGAAACAAACTCACATTAAATAATTTCCTTTGTAGTTTTTTTTAAGTCCTGCGTATTATACGCCAAGTTTTAATTTTAATTTATAAATGATCGCTAATCGATTTTTTAACTAAATATTTGGTAAGTAGAGTTGATTTTCAGTTCATTGTACTTGTTTTGATACTAATGTATGTTTTGTATGAACCAAAATGTTTCAATATCATTGCCATAGAGCAGGGGTTCCCAACCTTTTTGTCCCTAAGAGCACATTCTAGGATATATGTTGGATGCGGGCACCATTAACGTTTTCAAGGTGAATTTATAGTTCGATAGAATTATACATGCATATAAAAAAAAAAAGAGATCGGTCGCATTTCGCTTTGTAGTGGTATCTATGTTGGACGCAATTTCTGTTTCATTCAAAATGAGGAAACTTTCACATAGAATTTTATTAAAAACTAAAGCATTTTTATTGTGATCGCACACGGGCGGGCACACATTAAATGATCGGCGGGCGCCATGATGTCCGCGGACATAGGCTTGAGAATCCCTGCCATAGAGTTATCCTTAAATGTTTAAAAGTATAAAGTCAAAACGAGGAAACTTCATGTTGATTTTCTTAGATGCATTTAAAGTTTATATCATGAACGATAATGCTCGAACTTAAATAATTTACAGAGTGTACGATTTTTCACAATAAAAAAAAAAAAAAAAAAAAAAAAAAAAAAAAAAAATTATGCTGATTATTATGATGTATATTTGGATTCCTGACATACCAATATCTTTATATATACAAGCGGCTAAAGTGTGTGTCGCCTATAGTTTATTGTTGCCACTCGGAAAATTCATTTCACTCTACTTTAAGCAATTAAGCAAGTAGAAGGAAAAATTCCGTGGGACAGTAAGCAAAGGGGCGTCCTCGCCGCCTGCCCTGGGTAATTCAGTTTAAATTAGCAGACATCTTTGCACAAATAATTTAATTACAACTTATAATATCTAGAACAGCGGGCATTTCGTATGACCGCTGGGCTTTCTAGTATACTAATATATCAATAAATTCCTCTTCCGTATATTCAAAATAAAATTCACGTGGATTCGCGGATTCTTAAAAGTGTTGAATTGAAATTACATGAAACTAAATTAAATATAGTTACATATAAATATTTTAAATATTCTTAATCGAGTACATTTTATAGCTTTTAAGAAAACTTACATGCATAGCTGACTTCAGTTCCATAGATTTTTCATGTAGCCTTAAGCAAATGCCTTTGATGTAAAGAATTAAAGTTTCACACTGCACGCAATAATTAATGGATACAGCGACATTGACTCCTTGAACCAAGATGCTACCAGCGAACTTAATGCCCAGAAATACGTATTTGTAAGTTAGACCTAAACTGAATAAAAGAGGACATTCTTAAAAAAAAAAAAAAAAAAAAAAAAAAAAAAAAAACATAAATATCCGACAGAAGTAATTTTTCAAGTTCTTAGCAATAGTACTTAATAATTCAAAGTAAGTCTAAATTAAATACTTGATATATTCCAAATGGTTTTTATTTATTTATTTATTTTTATTTTAGTTCACTCAAAACTATTCCAAGATTATTTGTGGAGGAAAGTGTTGTATTTTAAAGAAATTTGAAGAAACTCAGTTTTATTTATTTAATTATATGACCATGTCGATTTAGTGTAATTTGCCTGCATCAAAAATCCATAACATTCTGAAACTTATTTACTTCGCTTTCAATTAAAAGAATAAATAAAATTCATACGTAAATTTCACTACTTTTCCATTTGCTTTGTGTAGAAACGTTATAAGAAGAGGTTTAAAAAATCATGAGTAATTTTGACTAAAGCCCTTTATTTTTGAGTAAAAATGACTTACAAGTCTTCGCTATTTATATATTATCTATAGTAATTACAAGAGAAAATATCCATCTGCTATAATTAGATGCTCCTTCTGCAGATTAATTATCACATTTCATTTATTAGTCCAAAGGGATTTGAGTCCCGAAGGGCTGTTACTTTTCGTTTTGGCATTTTGCGACGGATTCCTATAAATGTCGGTTCATTTTTAAAACTGTTGCCACAAAATGTTAGAGTCCTACATTATATTTGAAGAAATTAAATAATGAAAAATTTGCATAAATGTACGTATATTTCTCTCATTGTGATAAAACAATGGTATCTAGAGCCATCCAATTTTGAATGACGTAACTGCGAATATGGGCATCTTGAATCCCAAATTTTAAATTTGGAATTTGTTTTATTATCGATTTCATATTTTGTAAAACTTTAACAAATTTTTGAGTAACAAACTCAACAATTTATAAGAGAGCGCGATGGCAACACTCTACGGGGGGGGGGGGGAATCTTTTTATCTCCAGCGCGCGGAACTCTGTATCCGAAATTCTAAAGAGAGACTCATTTTAAAATTATTTTGGGACATTGCTATTGAACTAAATTTCATGGTTTAAGTGCAAAGAACATGATATTTAATAAATAAAGGTAACACACAAAACGTTAAAAAACGCCCCTTTGGACGTAATTTAAAATCTGAAACATTACAGATTTTTTTTTTTTTTTTTTTTTTTTTTTTTTTAAGTTTTTTTTTTATTACTTCTAGTTTAAGCTGTTATTTTTAAAATTACTCAATAGCAGATTCATATGTTGACAAAAACAAGTAATTTTGCGAATTAAAACAATATATAATTAATAAAATAAATAATATTTACTTTTAAATTAATATATTCGAGGCCAGCCATCTTGAATTACTGATTGGAACATAGCTTCTTCATGCAGCTGTTTTCCAACTTTCTATCTAATAAGATTAATTTCAAAGATGGTAGCTGATTGTTTAAGCCAAATCAAGTTAAACAATTCAGCTCAACTGATAATGCAACAAAATGTTTCAATAGTATTAATTATTTTTAAATTGCACTGAATGTATATCGACAAAATTTTACTGAGCACAGAGAGACTCCAAAAATTGAGAATGTTTTCACAGATATATACGGTTGTCAAAGCTAAGAATCAAGCCTGACGTATAGTAAGTGATTTTTTTTACTTTACAGTTCTATTTGTAAAAAAATATGCGAAAGGTTATGAACAACACGGAACTGAAAATAAATAAAGCATTTTAAGTAAAAAATTCCGATTTTTAATTCAAATCTTTGATAATATAAAAATAACTTCTAATAACTGGGAGCATATAATTAGTTATAAGTTTGCATTTAGTTGCATGAGCTCCTTGTTTTCATAATGGCTCTGATGTCAATATTTTTTTAGTCGCTCATGAAGACATTTTCCTTCATTTTCCTGCAGGAACATGTTTCAGATTATCTTTGTTGTATTATGATTTGTACAGCTGTTTACTCAGTAAAAATTATCAATGACGATATATTATATGAAAATTACATAGGCGTATAGAACTATACCTAAATAAACCAAGTTATTAAAAATTAATCTATCTCCTAAAAAGTAGAAATTTTTCATCTGTGAATATGGCCTGGCAACCTCTCTAATGGACGACTTCTATACTTGAAGGCTCAATTAAAGCTTGAATCAAGCGCTGCGGTCAATTTCCTGCAAAAATGCTGAAACCAACTACATCTAAAAATATTTAATTCGCAGTCATTGCTAAATAATACTTTTAATCGATAGATTTTAGTAAGGGCAAAATGTTTCCTTGTATTCTGCAAACTGATAAGGAATTTCTCCTTAGCTATTTTGCCTTACTATATTATAACGTATACGTGATTAGCGAAAGCTGCCTGCCCTTAGGACTAGGTTCGGATCCCATATAATGCATAAACATTATATCTATTACAGTCCCAATAGTCTATCTCAGTATAGAATGAGGGCACTTAAAATTTATTGATCTTTTTTAAAATTTCTAGTTCTGCTTATTGATCTAAAGGACCTTAGTATTGGTTAAGTTAGGCTATGCTATTTGAATATGGCAAAGCAATGAGGAGTATCTTCCTGATAGCAGGGATGTCTTCTGGAGAATTTTCTGCGCTAAACTGGCTTGGATTCACGTTTCACATGAGAAAACCACTGAAACCAACCATGGTCCCCAGAATTTGAACTCAATCCAGGTCGAACTATCAGTATTCACAAGACCTCCAGCGGCAGAGCGGTAAAATCTCTGAACACTAGTAGTTCGGCCGGAGATCACAAGACCTCCAGCGGCAGAGCGGTAAATTCTCTGAACACTGGTAGTTCGGCCGGAGATTTAAATCCCGAGATCATGCAGGCTGCATGGGCGTTTTCGAGGTTTTTCCAATGTGTAATGTGTATACGAGTCAGTGCCCGTTAAAAAGTCCTCCACGACGGCAATTCTCGCCTTAGGCAGACAACCCTCGAGGCTTTGCCATAATTACATAAACTAAACCAAACCTTAGTATTGAATTGGGATATATTTATTGGAATATGGCAAAGAGCACTAAGTCTGCCTACTTAGGAAGTCCTCTTAGATAACTGTGGTAGAAAAAGAGAGACATATGACCTTCGGATATTTTATATCTTCTCTCTTCTTCAAACTCCATTAAATATTTTCCGTTGACAGCATGATAAAGTTTTTTTTTTTTGGTACAATCTGTTGCAATGGTACATTTTGTTTCCCCTGGTACAGTTGTTTGCATTTATATAGTTTGTTATTTAATGCATACATTTGAGATTTGGTTTCGCAGTTATATTTGTAAAATCATTTCATATGCTAATGTTTGATCCGTTGATTAGTTTGGGCTCGAGTTTCTCATATCGAAATTTTTAACTGAATCACTTAAATATTTGAACGGTAGTAGATGCATTCTACTGGAAAAGCTTTTAAATGCTCGCTTAGTTGCTAATCATCCTCGTTCAATGACGCAATGTGATGCTCTCTATTTGATTTTATACTTCCATTGCATAAGTGAATCTGTTTGGATTTCTGTTAAATGGCACGCTTTTATTTTCTATGTAAATTCATTTGGATTGAATGGCACACGTAAAAATAACATGTGCTAATCATATTACTTTGCGTGAACCGACATCTTGTCCGTTTGCGTTTTGGTAGTTAAATAACTGCTTTCGCTGGCAGGATTATAATGACTATATTCTAGAACTGCAGGAAAGATGCTCCACTAATGATATTAAGGAACCTCTTGGTCAAAATCAAAATAGGCAATGTTCATATTCTTCAATAATCCATGCAATCTCCTCTTTGTAGTGAACTTTTAGACTGACGCTGAGTACCATTTGAGTAACATGGATGTACTCTGAGTAACATGGATGCAGAAATTTCTGCAGTAAATTTCATGCCATTTACTTTTGAATCTGAATTTGCTTTTCTTTATTATTTTCTATTCTGCGATAGCTCTCAAGATTGAGCTTTTATTTTGAATCTGCCTATCATTTCTCTGAGTTTTTTTAGTTATTTTCTGAATAGAAGAATGATTTCCTTACGGTGTTAGCAGAGGGGGAAAGAATGATGTTTTAATCCACAGCTTTTGCTGCTGAAGGCAATTCAAAAGAGCATTGCTGCATTTTTCAGTGTACATCGAAAGATTTATAAAATGTTAAAAACAACAGTTAGGGAAATAAAATGTGTTCATTTTTGAAATAACATGCTAATTCCAACATCGCTTGTTCTTCAGTTACGAAAATCGTCAATGGTATTCTAGATATTTGTTTCATTACTCCAGTTGCTGTTCCGTGTTCTGAAGCCAAGTAAAATTCCTTAAAGGCAAAGCCCTCTATCATAGTTCTTAAGTGCTTCTTAATCGATTTATATTTAGAAATTCTTTGCACAATATGTAACTCTTACTTTCTGTGTTTCACCTTTCTAAGCCAGTAACAGAAATAAGACTCCGAAGTATCTATCTCTCAGTACGGATTTATTCCTTATCTATGTCACCAGGCATAAAATTAGTTGCCATTCGTGTTTTTCATTCAAAAGTTTCGATGGAGTAAAGAAGGCTTAACAAAAACGTGAAGCTATTAAAATCTCACTGTGTTTTCTTTGAAAATAATCTATCTAGTGTAAAACTAGTTTTCTCTTCAACTCATTTTGGTGTAACAATCAACATCTTGTGATTCTTCTCCCCACTAGTAACCGATTGGACATTCCTGCGACTTTGGATCAGATCCTAAGGAATGAGCTGGCCTGCATGAGAGCATTCATGTTTTACCCTATGTGCAATGTAAAGATGAGTAAGATGTCATTTCCATAACGTGAATATGAACAAGTTCCCAGTTTCTAAGCTTTCAAACAGAGCTTTAGCCTTCCCCAAAGGCAAGTAACCGTAGCAAACATAACGCAAAAAATTCCAATCATTTACTTTCTGCTCTTATGATCCATATGACTAAACGCTGTAATATTATTTTCACATGAAACGGCTTCAGAAGTAGTATACTGTAAAGGGTGGACAGTTCACCTATCCTCCTCTAGCTTCCTCACTGGGTAATATTAAAATAAATTTTATTTCAACACTGGTTCCTTTTAAAGTTCTTTAATCGCAATGTTTAGTTTACCAAGCAAAATATTTTCAAAGGTAAGCAGTATTTACCATATCTTGGCAAGAACCAAACTTTACGGACTACTCAACGATTAGTGGAATTTTAATAAATGTTTTCCTAAATGTATTTGTAAGGTTCTTAAGTTAATTAATCAGTTATTATAATTTTGATCTTTACTATAACTTCTTCTTTTCATATTCCTTATCAGAATGCAAATTAGCTTTTAGAGCATATAAACTGAAGGTTTCATAAATGAGCGAGATTTTCTGGCACTCGTGCCGCGCTGTTGGCATTTTGCCAGCTCTATCTAAAATTGATTATTCCGGCTTTTGCATTCTCTCGCTAGCCGACATTTTAAACTAATGCGCCGTTAAAACAGTTTATAACCGTGTAATCGTAGACTAGGTTATCAGCGTTCAAACTGAATTGCTTAATTTATATCGTCTGTCTGTAGCACAAGTCGTGCCTTTTATGTTAAAAAAATTCAGATTAAACAAAAAGGTTATTTAAACCTTCTGAGTGCTTTGTTATAATGTTTCAGAAGTGGTGATAACTCTCCCACTTGTCTAGTAGGGTAGATTCCACATCAATAGCAACCCTACATATTCATGGAATGCCGACATTAATAGTTTTCTAAATATCCTTTGACCATTCGTAGAATTTACGCCCGTCAGTCCCCAAGTGAACAAGGCTGTTGTTCACCCAGTCGTAGCCATGAATTCTTAGAGTCATTTAGAATTTTGTGAAGTCAGGAAAGTGAAGAATCCTCAGTGTCCTAGTTGGAATTCGAACTCCGAAGCTCCCGAATACGCGTCGATTATGCTCCTTAAGTTTAACCACGAAGGCATGCGGAAAGGAAGGAGAAAATACCTTATAAATTACAACAATGAGATGAAATCCAGGCAAAGAGGATAGCTGAATGAGAGTTTTTGTAGTTTACTCATGTGCAACGCTGATGCCAGCCAGTTTTCTTTAGAATGTCTTCTATCAAGGCATCCCTTCCCTTAAGCTGGTAGCCATGTCGTGCTTTGCCATAATCAAATAAATAATCCAAACCATAAAATTTATACTGTTTTGATCAAAAACAAAAACAATAATACCATAAACATTACTTTGAAAACTGAATAAAAAATTTATCGGAAAAATGTCTTACAATTCAAGTCTCCTTTGGGGAAAAGTAAAATTATAAAGCACCTCAAGGCCAATCTGACACAAAAGCCACAATATAGCTGCAGCGAAAAATAACCTGAAAATAGATAAAATATTAGTTTCTTTTTTGTGTAAATTACAATTTTACATTTAAGTGTACACAGTTTTCTTTTAACGCATGCATGGCATTGAATTGTACAATATTTTAATATTTTATTAACGGTGTTAATTGAACTATGAAAATTTTTATTACCTTGAATTCCTTACCAACGTATTCTGTAACCCGTGGGTAGAATGAGATTGTAGAAACACCTGATTAAAAAATAAATAAATAAATAAAAAAGAAAAAATCGGAAAGCTTTCAGATTTCATATTTTCACCCAAAGGGGCGTTTTTTTGAACGTTTTGTGTGCTACTTTTATTTATTAAATATCATATGCTTCGCACTTAAACCATAAAATTCAATTCAACAGCAATATCGCAAAATAATTTTAAAAGAATTTCCGATACACAGTCTCGCGTTGGATATATATATATATATATATATTCTTTTCTTATATTGCTCGCTTTGAAAACGTTGAGTTTGCTAATCAAAAATTTTTTGTAAAGTGTTAAAAATATGAAATCCAGAGGCGTAGCTAAGGTTTTCAGTGCCCAAGGACACCTAAAGATTTTGCGTCCCTTTATGTATTCCAAGAATGGAAAACATTTCATTTTGAAATGTGTATCATCAATTTGGCGCCCCCTGGATGCTGCGCCCGGGGACGGATGCCCCCTTTGCCCCACCCTAGCTACGCCACTGATGAAATCGGTAATAAAACAAATTCCAAATTAGGGCTTCCAGCTGCCCATATTCGGTGCAGGATTACGTTATTCAAAATTCGATGGCTCTAGATACCGTTGTTTTATTAGAATGCGAGAAACGTAAGTACATTGATGCAGATTCTTCATTATTTAATTCTTTAAATATAACACAGGGCGATAATATTTGGTGGCAGCAATTTGAGAAGTGAAACGGACATTTAAAGTTTTCTACACAAAATGGCGAAACGAAATTAATAGCACTTCTGGGCTAACGCCCAAAAACATTACTATAGGCTTCATAAAGTGTAGAATTTTATCATGTACAGGCTATCTCACAAGCCAAGCATCGCAGTAGAAAATTTTTCTATTATTTTTTCAATATTATTCTTTTTATTTCTAACACAGAGATTCAGTCGCTGCTGCTGTCCAAAAACACACATTCATTGATCATATGATTGGTGGCACAAGAAGCACGAAGATGAGGAAATGAAAACCAGTAATTTGCTGAGCAGAAACTAATATTTCATACTATTATGTAAAAGCCCAAAGCCAATCTGGCCTTTATTGCAATAGTCAGTATTCTCTCGGCAACTTATCTACTGTTTCAAAAACTGGTGATTACTACAATAAGGCTAGACTTGATAGGATATCTTACGCTTTATTAACGCCACTTTCATTTAAACATTTGAATATGCTCTGCAAAGTTTACTAAGAAATACCATTAACAAATACAGTGGCAACATCCAAACTTCATTGATTTATTGTTTTCTTTTTCAAATTCAATTATTATTTTGCAATTAAAGACTAGGGAAGCAAAAGGAAAGTTATTTTTGATACTTTAATTGTGATTTGGAGTGAATTACTGTGATTTTTCAAGCATATAGTTATTGAAATTTGCAACGCTAACTGTTTAATAGTGAATCACCAGTGATAGTACAATTTTTTTTCTCTATGCGTAAAATGAATGCGGATTGCACTTGAAAATTCGGATAACAAAAGCATTAATAAAGTGAGCTCCATTAATACAGACAGTTCTCGTGTTTTATATAATTAATTAACTAACTACCAGCCTAGAGTGAGAAAGTAGTACAACGTACTTTCAAAGTTTCATATACCAAATATCTTAACTAATATAGAATATCTGAATTAATTTACATAGATTCATATAAGCTTATAAATAGGAATTCGAATGAAGACAAGAACAACTGGTGGTTTAAAAGTGCTTCAAGGTAAAGATTTGTAGAAAACAACCACTTTTTCATAAGAAGCTCGAAAACATTATCTTCTTACTTCTCTTTGAGAATAGGTTTTAATTTCAAAGTATAGGAAAATTCTGAAACTGAATTGGAGATCCAGTATGTTCCAAGATAAAAATAAGCTCTAGGAGACTAATATAATCAAAAGAAAAGTTTGTTCCCTAAGAAGTACTGAACATTAGAAAACTTTTGAATTAAGTTTTATTAAAGTTTATAAAGCTTTCCTTTAAAAAAAGTGGAAGAATAATCAAAAATGATATTTCTGAGAAGTAATTTTATAAGCGTAAAAGTCTAGAAAAGAAAATGCTAGTAAGGTTTGAAGTTTTTAGTTTAATATGTGTTTGATCGCTGATCTCCATTTTTTAAACGTTTTTTCTGATACGGAATGTCAATTTTATTTGTAAATGAGCATCGTATGTTATACTTGATGATGTATTATTATATATCACTTATTATACGTTTATTATTATATCGCTCATTATACGTTTATTATATATCGCTTATTATACGTTTATTATATATCGCTTATTATACATTTATTATAATATCGCGTATTATACGTTTATTGTATATCACTTGTTATACATTTATTATATATCGCTTATTATATGTTAATTATATATTGCTTTTTATACGTTTATTATATCCATAATAAAAGATATACGTCATTTATTATATGTAATTTATTATAGGTTTATTATACATCGTTTATTATCGACCCGATTTAACAACGCTGCCAGTATTATAATAAGGCCTTTAAGAAATATAAAGCATTTTTCAAAATAGGAACTTCATCTTGATGATGACCTTAACTATTTAACATATAACTAATGTTTTCTTAGTACAATCAATTCATAGCATATATAAATAATAAATAATTATTTTATTACTGCCAGATGGTAAAAAAATGAAAAAATGGTACTAAATACTAAAAATTAGTGTCAGAGCAGTTTATGAGAGCGCTTTAAGCTAATAGTATAAGGGAAAATGAGACACTATTCTGGTTAGAGGGTTTATTTATTTCTTTAACAAGTTAACAACAATATAAAGAAAAAAAGTATGATATATACTCACCCTTTCCATCAAGGAGTACAGTTGTTCACACTCTACCAACCGAAAATGGTAGAAGCCATACGCGAAAGCCAAAAAATGAACAAAACTGGGCACTATGTACGTTGGAACGATATGTTGGCAGTCAACAGAGTCTTGCGGTCTATAACTTTGATCCATGGAAGCAACTATGTATTTCGCACGGCAGGAAAATGTTACTAAGCCCCAGGTACAATTTCCCTGCATATTTACCTCTTGAGGTGTAGGCACGGGTGGAGATGGCTGAAATATAAATTTAGACATAGATCCCTCGTACAATTAAGTTTTACAAGCAAATTAATGAAATTACAATGCAGCTACAGATGTAGAAAAAATGGTATTTTTACGTTTCGCCGGCGCAAATCTCGCCAAGTAGACCTTGTTGGCGACAACATGCAGTATACTCATAAAAAATGTTAACAAACGTTAGTTCTAAGAATTTTTTATTTTGAAGGCATAAACATTTTAATATGATTTAAAATTTTTTAAAAAGCCAATAAATAAAGACAATAAATTTGTAAAAAGACATTAAGAATTTACTATGCTTTCATGTTCAACATCCTGATTCGCCGATTCGTATCACGAGACCCCAAGTCCCCCCCCCCCCCCCCCCCCCCCCCCCCCCCCCCCCCCCCCCCCCCCCCCCCCCCCCCCCCACCCCCCCCACCCCCCCCCCCCCCCCCCCCCCCCCCCCCCCCCCCCCCCCCCCCCCCCCCCCACCCCCCCCCCCCCCCCACCCCCCCCCCCCCCCCCCCCCCTTGATCTCATATGACGTAAACTACGTTACAAAAATCTAATTCTCTCACTAATTATCTACATTAATTTCAAGTTAAATCTTAATTTGGAATACAAGTTTAAATGCAAGAATTATTTCAATTCGTACGAATAGCTTACTCAGAAATTATATAAAACCGCAGTGCTTTACTTCGCTAGTGCATTCTCATTAGAATACATGAATTTAACCATTGATTTTGTCTTTTCTTTATTTTCGTCTTCGTGTGAGCGGTGTGATTGCATTCTAATTAACTTAATTACCGCGAATGGTCTTAGGGCATAAAATTTAACTATCTTGTAAAAATTCTATGTAATTATATGCCAGTATTCAAAGAAATAATCTATCTGATGAGAAATAGCTGCGATTTGTTTTCAAAATGAAGCGTAAAAGGTTACCAGCGAAGATATGCTGTTTGGCATCAGTTGTACCATTGTTGGCGACTTTATCGTTTGCGGAGGCAAAACGGAAAAGTACCGAAAAAATTCTATGCACTCTGAAAAAAATTCTTTTTTTGTTAAATTCAAGCTAAAAATCTCAATATGTAATTAGTACGAACAGAAATAGACCTTCATTTTATTCTAGGATATTTGCCAAAATTTTTATGTTCTAATCATTTTAGGTTTGCACTATTTTGTCATCAGGATTAGTTAGAGACGCATTATATGCTAAAAACCCGTGAACATGCAATAGAAACGTATAAAAGTGACGAATAATAATACCGAGATCAGATTTTTGCGTTAGTGTGAGTAAACTTAATTTATTTAACGCTTGAACTATTAAATTTACTTAAAAACTATTGATAACCTTAAATGAACTGCTGTCATTTAAAGACAATCATTTGCATTAGCAAAATTGTTTTTTTCCAAATTTCTGGGAAATAGCAAGTAATAATTAAAATAATATAGTAACTCATTACAGTAAACCAGTAATGCATTACATTTAATTTAAATAAATGTTTAATGTCACGATTTTAACTCGAGCAGAATTTCATCAATTAAATATCATGATTGCATTTCGAAGTCTGAAATTATATGTTTTTCATCTTCACTATTTGGATTTCTTATTATTTGCTTTTCATTAAGACTAAGACTAAGAAAAGTATCATATTTACTTACGCATTCCAACCCACTTTTTTTTTTTTAACTAATTCAGCCACTTGAAAACTGAGAATGGAAAAACATTTCTGAAACAAAGAGTTACGCGAAGAATGTAAATTGTACAGATTTATTTAAGTTACTTAATAGTTAATTTTATTTTGAAGCAACCTTTCCTAATGCTCTTTTCAACCCCGCTTTCTTGTCAGAACGATATTTCAGTTTCGTGCAAATTAGGGTAAAAAATACTATTTAAGCTGGTGCCCGAGTTACTTTAGACAGTCTGTGTTCTGCTTCTCAGCCACATTGTTTCGCTGATATTTAAGCTTGCTATTTTACGACAGTGCATATTACAACAAAAATTTATAGAAATATCAAAAAATTTAAAAATACAAAAATTATAAAATTACAAAATATTAAAATAAAATCAAAACTCTTACCTAATCTCTCTCTAGCCATGTGGCTCCCTCTAGTTACATCATATACTTATTTTTATATATTTTTTCCATTTCTGCTCTCTGATCTAGTTTTTCTGGAGGCAGACGGTTTTGAACCGTAGCTCAAAAATACACCCATCTTTGGCTTTGGCCGTGCATATTAATTACTGGTCGGTGGTAGGACTAAAAGCCAGCTTGTTTTAATCATCTCTGTGCCGCTTCAGCTGATTATTTAACTTAGTTTTAATTTTATATTTCTAATTTGAGTTACAGCAAAAAGTATTGGCTTAGTTTCTGTAAGTACCAAGAATGCCGACTGCAACTCCTTTCTTGAGCTGAATGAAAGGGCTTTTCACCTTTCGCATGTCTTGTTACTGATACAGTTTGAACTTAAAGAATAGTCGCTTCACAGTTCGAGTAAAAATCTAACCAACAAAGTAACTTTAATTTAGCTAGAATCTCATAACAAAGTTAATTAAGAAGCATTTAGTAATTAGTTTTTTAGTATTATAGTCAGTTACAATTATCAATTTCAGTTATATAGTATATAAAATTTATTTGCATGATTTATTACCTATATCTTTGAAACTATTACCATGATTAGGAAGTTTTAAAATCATGCACTTAAAACACGACAGGGAAAATGGAGGACAAGCATTCGACTGACACGTGAGTAAGTTCATTATTAAGATACATATTACGTAAGTATTATGAAAGCTTGAAAATGTTCCTGGAATGGTCTCATAAAAGTTTTGCTTTAGTAAGGAGTTTGCTTGCGTTTCTCCAAAGATATTTTATGTAGTTCAGTTTTATTTAGTATAATTTTCGCTCTAATGTTTCTTGCATATAATTTTAATGCCTAAATTGTTTTATTTTTATAGCAGCATAGCTTCGTGAGAATTTTAAGATACTTAATTAAAATGAAATTTTCTTTATAAACAGTCTGTTGTTTCTCAATTATCAAACAGTTAGTTTTAAAAAGGTAAATTTTACGAAATTAGATGAAAATTAAAAATAATAATAATAATTACAAAAGTAATTTCTGACAGCTTACCTCCACGTCCACATGGATGTTAAATTTCCCTTGACAATTTAATACTTGCAGTACGTAGTGGCTGACTATGAAAACTATGACGACAGCAGGATAAAATATGTTGAAATACCACCAAAACTTGGACCGTCGACTTAAGGATTCCTTAAACCAGGGCCGCCATCCAATCTGTACACGAATCACAAAGTTCCTGTCAAAATTATTTTCACTCGCATAAAATGCATGATGCGATAGTTAAAATACTTTTTCATATATCATGACTGTATATCTCTATATCACGAAATGCATATTCGTTTAGGAAATTATATAATATTACTCAAGAAATAATTAAATTCATAACGAATAACGATTCTAATGTTTTGAGGTGAACAATGCTATTTCATACCAAACAGTCTAGAGCTTATGTTCGGGGAAAAAAGAAAAAGAGAAAACTCATAAATCTACCATTCCCAGTCACTGCTGATCAGAAACCCATACCTTCCATTCCTCTGTAGTAAACATTATGACACAAAATAATTTCATTTGGCGAATCGGATTTTCTGGAGGCTTTTCATATGCACTAAAATCTATATATTGTAGTCAATCATCAAATTTTGTTATACATTTACCGTTAATCTTTAAACGATTTGATTTTTAGTTGCTTCTCGTTCACGTTTCCATCATGGGTTTCGTTTGCTAATATCTTGAGCAAAAAGTACTCGAAATTTCTTCTGTGATTTCTTTACTTGCTTTATTCTAATTCCTGTTACAAATTTTGTACTTCTTAAGAATTTAGCAATGGTTTATTTATGACTAAAAATTATAGGAAATGCATTTGTACAAAATGTTTAATAAACAATTTACAAAATGGTTTTACTGTTATACTATAAAAGCCTATTTGCGAAAATTTCTAGCTGTGTATAATGCTATAATAAAATAGCAATGCAATACCAATTACTCTCTTAAGACATGTTTTCGCATTTCTTCATTCACATGGTTATAAAAAGTACCGAATGAAAACAACAAAAATAACATTAAAATAGCTGATATGTACACCACATGAATTTCTTGTACGGAATATTAAATTATACGCATTTTTTCCTGCATTTCATTTAAACTTATTTTCTCGAATTTCATTAGAGATATATTTCAAATTCAATTAATTCAGTTCTCACTTCAAGACAAAGCAAAAATACATAAAAACTCAAAATATTTTTATTAAAAATTGAAAAACATATGGCATGTCTTTTCAGAAAAAGTAGGATTTTGTGTCAAAATACCTATATTAGAACAGTGCTATATAGAAATATCCTAAGTTGAGCTTTCGAGAGATGAAAAAAAGCAATTTGATTTTCGTAGAACGGAAGATATAGAACCACCGTCCTCTTTTTTTTTTTTTTTTTTCCCTGAGTATAATTTTATCACTTTATTTCATAACAGTTTAAGTAATATTTTAAGTCTTTTAAAACACTGTAAATATAAGTCATAGTTTTCAAAAACATTTTTAAACATGAAGAAAATAGTTTTTCTCTCTAGCATTAAAATGTATAATAATACTCACGAAAGACAAAAGACAAGAATAAGGCGCAATTATTGTTCTTTGGCATTTTCTCAGAGAAAGAGGTACGTATGGTGCTTCCCCTTCGCCATTAATATCAGATATCTGGAAAAGACGTGAATAATAGTAATGAAGAAACAATGGAAAATTATGTGTAATATTTTTAAAAGAACGATACTTAAGAATATCAAGAGCAAAAGGATATAGATAGGCTAGATCTTCCTAAACCTGATGAGATTTAAATAGCATTCAAGTAAAATTCAGTCAAAATCTATTTGCACATAAAAAGAAGTTTCACTATCATGGCAATGTTTTAGTTCAAGGTTTGCTCAAAATCTTATTGCTAAACAGAAGCTACTTTTGTAAGCTTTTCTCTTCTAAGCTAATTTAATGTTTATTAATAAAAAATCTGATGTGTACACCACATGACTTCCTTGTACGGAATATTAAATTATACGCATTTTTTCTTGCAATTTATTTGAACTTATTGGATTGAATTAAATCTACTTCGCCGACAGTGCATAAACCACAATAGAATAAATGCATTCTTGAAAATTCACTCTATTTGTTTACCATAGCGACACTCTGGCGCTAGGTTCTCTTAGCAGTATTATATTTCGTTCATATTATAACTATGTCTATGTCTATGTCTTATCACTTAGTAAGAGGAATCGACCATTAACGGCCTTTACCAATATATGATATTTGACTTTTAAATGCTTGAAGAATCGAGTAAGTTGTATCCAATAATATGGAAGTACTTGTACACATGCTGTGCTAGAACTCAGAGATTACTAGCGACGGAGGCTCCTGTGCCGCCGTCCGTAGAATAAGTAAACTTTGAACAAATGAGGCGCTCGTGTGACGCCATCTATTAGTAGTGATCAAAAGCATTTTAGTTGACTGGAGCTCTGGTTGCGCCATCTCTTGCAGGATGTATTGTAAGGCATTTTTAAAATTTCATAAAATTTATTCTTTTGATAAGCAATAATTGGCAAGTAAAATGATGAAAAACACAATTTGCAGTACATTGAAAAGTTTCACAAGGAACTATTTACACTATTTTACTAAAAACTATTTACACACAAAGTTTCATATTATAACTCAGAATGCACAAAATTTATATCATTTATAGAATTATCTAATCGTTGCCACATGTTCTATTCAAATACTATAATAAAGCTAGAACGATGTATAAAAGAAATTAAGCAAGCAAAACAAAAAAGAAACAGTTTTTCACAGACGATTGAATACTTCTCATTCAATTAATTCAGTTCTTACTTCTCGACAGGGCAAAAATACATAAAAAGTCAAAATATCTGTATTAAAAATTACGAAGTAAATCTTAAACACTTATTTCCTCGAAAAAATTCCAGAAAGGATTAAGCATGATTTAATTCGCAATGTTATCTTTGTTGTTATGTGCTAAGTTTCTCTAGATTGGCAACAAATCCACTATTCTGCTGTTTCAAATGTAAACAAGCAATAGCCGCCATCAAAAACATTATTAGGCTTAGCGGCACTTGAACAACTTTAAAATTGTTGATAATTCAAAAAATATTGCATACAGATTTACTAAAGGCATAAAAACCTTAACCGGAAGATAAGAACAACATAATTCAATCATTTTTAAAGCAAAAAAAAGTACAATTTACAAACATATAAGAGTAAAGAATCTGAGATCACTGAGCTGGGTAACAGAGTGGATATTTATATAAATATATTTACATACGTTTGGTGCGGCCGATTGCAACCAAAATATGAGGTGCACATCTACATGTTATAGCAGTCCTATATACAAAATTTCAACGTTCTGAGGCTACTCGTTTTTGAGTTATACGAGATACGTACGTACGTACATACGTTCGTACAGACGCCACGAAAAATTCTCTTCAGAATTCATTTTAAAGCAGTTTTATAATTTTTTTGGAGGAAAAGAGTCTTTTATTCTGTCCTTACGTACAGATATTGCGCAAAAACATCGTTAAATTTCATTCGATAGCGGTCAAAATGGATATTTTTGTTGAAATATGCTGCCTGAAACTTTTCGCGATGACAATACTTCCTTTTTACTTCGTACAAGGAAGTAAAAGTGGCACAGATTAAGAGAACAAGACTTGCCTTTTCCATAATTTTAATTTAGTCATTTCTTTATTAATATTTCCTTGATTTGCATTAACTTTTGTTTTAGAACTTTCCAGTATATTTGTACTGAATAAAAGATTTTGAACTAAATAAAATTCAGAATAAAAGTACTACTATTCGCAATAATCATGATATGTTAACATATAATTGCAAAACAAAAACTACATTTTTTTTCTAAAATTTCGGAGGCAAACTTGGATGATGCCATTATTTACAGTTAAAATGATAGCAGATCACGAAAACTTCAGATTTTAATGGAGATTACAAAGTATACTTTAAGTAGCTAACCTACACCAGTAAAATAAAATCATAAAAATTTCAATCAAATTAATTATTACAAGCTTCTAAAAACTTAGTAATAAAAATACAAATTTTGGGGTCGATTTTCATAATACCTTTTCTGATAGCCTTTTCACCACGTTCAGATGTTAAATGCGATTTTAATAAACTCTTTAAGAACACACATATTAATATTATACCGCAAAACAACATGCCGACCTCCATCTAAATGAATTTTAAAAAAATTACTAGCATTCAGAAATGAATTGAGCTTGAAGTTTTACAATTAAACTCTCTTTGACATTCCACTAAATTTTATTTTCAGTAATTCTTAACTCTTTGTACTTGCTGTTGTTTTTCCTTTCTCAGTCATTTTATCAGTCACTGAAGCTTGAATCATATCAGTAAAAGCATATTACTTGTATTAAATACACTGGTTATCATAAATTAAGGAAAAATCACAAAAATCACGATTACCGAAAAAGTTACATGTAGAATTTAATGAAACTTACCCACAATATACAACACATAGTAAGGTATCAAATAACATCAAAAGAAATTACCAGACAAATATAGTAGTATAGAAATTAGAACATGTATAAAATGAACAAATCGAAAATGTCAGTTTGCTATAGGAAAAGTACCTTCAATATGGAATATGATCGCCTATAGAAGCGACACAGCACATACAGCGATGTGTGATGCTTTCAATTATGCGGTCTATCAGTTCCATAGGAAGGAGAGCCATTGCTCTTGCAAAGCAGTTGCAAGCGCGACAAGGGTTTGAGGGGGCGGATTGAGAGCAGCTAGACGTCTCCCTAAAGCATCCCAAACGTGCTTGATAGGATTCAAGTCCGCGGATCGAGCTGGCCACTCCATGCGCATAATTGTTTCCTGTTGAAGATAATCATCTACGATGCGAGCCCTGTGTGGTCTTGCGTTGACGTCCTGTAACAGGAAAGCATCACCTATTGCTCCGGCATATGGGCGCATATAAACATCAAGGATGTCTCTCTATAAATCTGATCATTCACGGTTCCCCTTGGAAAGACATGGAAGTCTGTGCGTCCACCCAAGGAGATGCCACCCCAAACACAGACACTGCCCCTTCCGTATGCATCTCTTTCACGGATGTTTGACGGATGATAACGGGTTCTAGGTTCTCTTCATATCAAATAACGCCTACTATCGCTTTCTAGACTAAACCTGGACTCATCCGTAAAGAGAACCGCCCTCCATTGATCAGGCGTCCAGTGGACATGTTGTCGTACCCACTGTAAACGGTCCCTTCTATGGCGTGACGTGAGCGGCACACAAATGGTTGGTCACCTCGCATACAGACCACCTTCGTGAAGCATTCTACGCATAGTTGACGTTGACACGAACCTTCCGGTGGCTGCAGCAAGGGAGGATCTAAGAAAAGTCGGAGTAGCGGTTCTATTCCTGCGTGCACATAATGTTAAATATCGGTCATCGGTGCTCATCGTAACAGTTGGCCGTCTTTGGCTGAACCTCCTAGATGCCGAATCTGTGGTTTGAAATTGCCTCCAAAGTCTATGAACCACATAAGGACTCGCATTTAGCCATCTGGCCACTTGTTTGACTTTGTCTTTCCTCTAGTCTCCCAATGGCTCTCCATCGCAGTTCTGCAGACAAATGATGCCTGTAGGTCATTGCTACGAATTGGCTATCTCAGATTTCTGATGTCACTGTCACAGTGAAATATGTGGGCTTGCTCTCAAACATGGACTTTTATGCTCCTCGCAGATGATGTATTCCGAAAGCAGCGCCACTAATGTGCCTATCGCAGTTTTACTCAGCTACTCTTACTTGGCAACATATTCAAATTTTACATGGTATGGCTTATTTTTGAGGGAGTTATCGCTATTTTTGTGATTTTTCCTTAATTTATGATAACCAGTGTATCAAGCTATCTAGTTTTTGTCATATGCTTATAAAATAGCAGAATTCTCAAAAACCTACTCAAGTTTAAAGAAAGGAAACTGAAATGTAGTTAACCAATGAAAGATTAAAATCTTGTTTTATTAAGTCTGTTACAAGTTGATTTTTCAGGTGAACATTTTATACACAGTATGAATGTTTAGATCTTACAGTCGCCTTTCTTTGTTCTTTAAAGAAAAGGATTTCTGTAATCGCTGAAAGCATAAGAAAAGTAACTAGCTTCAGAGGTGATAATTTCTTACAGGTAATTTATCTGCTTTGTTGAAGTCCATGCAAGTTATTGAGGAAATGGCCGGTCTGCAAGTAACTCATAAAATTAATGTAAAAAAATCTGATGCGGACACCACATGACTTCCTTGCATGGCCTAATAAGTCGTAGACATTTTTTGCTACATTTCATTTAAAATTATTTCCTTGGATTTCATTAGAGATGCATTTCTCATTCAATTAATTCAATTCTCACTTCGCGGTAAAGCAAAAATACATAAAAATTCAAAACATCTTCATTAAAAATTGTTAAATATAGAAAAAGCAGAAAACACTAATACAGTTAAAACAGTTAAAATTTTTTTTTTTAAATTAAATATATAGTTTCTACACAAAAACAAGCAATTCGGCCAGGGTGCAAGAATATAGATTTTTCGATGAACAAAACTGAAAGTTTCCTTTTGTTCCTCCCATGCAAAAAGACATTGAAAGTGCAGAAACTGATTTAATTCACTATTCTGCTGAGTTTCAAATGTAAACAAATGGCGGTTCGTTAGGCTTACCTCGCCACTTAAGCTTTTAAATTACTAATAATTCTATAGCTATTACATGCAGATTAACAAAACAGATAAAAACCTAAACCAGAATATAACAACCACATAATAGAAAAACTATGCTCACCGAGCCAGGTAACAGAATGGGAATATATACACGTTTTTTCCCTTCTTTTACAAAGTTTTAACTCTTCAAACTAAGTAGGTCCTCACTTAAAATCATGTATAAATTGACTAATAGCAATTCGCTATTTATTTTGTTTTGTACATTTGCCTAACCAGGCTAGATTGCATGTGTTTCTCATTAATGGTGCGGACGTGTCCTGAAACGAGTAAGAGAAATTGATACTTAAGTTATAATAGATTATTTTGTCGGTTTAATGGTCAAAAAGTTATTTTGCGTACAGTCTCAATTCTTCTGTTTTGACGAAACGCAATATGGAAATAGTTAGATTCGAAGCTCATTGTTCATTTCCCCTGAAAAGTCCGTAATGAGATTCGAGTTAGGCTAATTTACCATTTACTGCTTCTTTGTAATTTTGCTTGTGCCTTAAATAACTTTTGTGTTTATGTTAAAATGTTTTAAGTTTGTTTAAACTTTAATCAACATTTTTTAACATTCAAATTTGATTTGAGCTTTACATTCACTTTTTATTTGTCATTTTTCTCGTTATAATTTCATTCTTCTTGTATTTAAACTTTTTGTGATTGCAATTTATTTTAACTTAATGTTAAAAATTATTCACGGGAACCACAGCAAATTCACAATTTGCTTTAAAGCATTAGCATGAAGAATTTCCTTTTTACCTTGTTTTCTAATTTTGCAGCTCAATCCGCAATGTTCTTGATCGCACAGGTCTCTTTTAATTTGCTCTCCTTTCTTAAATTATATATATATATACGACTGGTGCAGCCGACTGCAACGAAAAAAGTGGGTGCATGTTGTAGTGGTTTCATATAAAAAATTTCAACGTTCTACGGCTACTCGTTCTTCTTGAGTTATGCGAAATACATACATACGTACGCTCTTCTGAATCCATTTCACAATCCTTTTTGACAAAAAATTGATTTATTTTGTCCGTAAGTACATATTTCACGCAAAAACATCGTTCAGATGGTTTCGAAAGCTGCTGAAATGAATATTTTTGTTGAAATAAGACACCCGAAATTTTTCGCAATTACAATACTTTACTTCGTACATGGAAGCAAAAATGCTAATAATTGGAAGATTACGAGTGATTTTCTTTTGCTAAAGGCTATCCTAAACTGTTCTGCCCCGTCCTCTCCTTGTAATAATGATTTTGGGAAAGACCTGCTGAGCCATTATAAATGGTACGCAAAGAAGGTAAGAAACGATATTTCTTCGAACTTTGAAAATTTATATCGATTAACTAATATTTTAACAATAACAAAGGTTAGAATGGCCCTGAAGACATCAATATTTGACAGTCAAACCGTGGCATAAGGTAGCATAACCCTATGAATCAAATTAACAAAATTTTCCTGCTGATGGAAGTATTAGAGTGATTGGCGTAATTATTGACTCTTCCTGTTAGTAACTTACTCTTTGTGGTAAAGTTAGTTCTGCGATGATCTGAAGAGCGTTCGACAATAAGTCCTCTTACTGCGAGTGAAACATGCGCTACGTAATTATCCTCAATTATTTCTTCTATCATGTTAAGATTCTATAGTCTTTGAAGGCGAAGAAGTATATAAACGAGGTAATAATTTTAAGATAAGGTAAAAGATAACCATTAATGTTTCGCTGATAGAAAGTGGATCCCGAAAACTTGCACTAAGATTATTGGTAGGACTTCTCCTTGTCTCAGTTTAATATAAAATTCTTGGAGCAGTTACTGTGTGACACAATGGAGAGAATGTCATGAATGCAGCACCTTCCACTCCAACACAGTTGCGGTCCACCCTGCAGAACACGTGCATTAATGAATCAGCAACTTTATTCCTTAGTATATGATTTTATCGATATGATCTTGAGGTGAACCAAGCCTTATCAAGTAGAAAATTCATGGCTTTTAGCTTTCAATGTATATATACATCAAACTAAGTTTATTAACTAACTAAAAACACACAGAAATATTTCACAGGAAAAGGTGTGTATGCTCTTACAATAAAATCATCGGCTTTTAGCTTTCAATGTATATATACATCAAACTAAGTTTATTAACTTAAAAACACACAGAAATATTTCTCAGGAAAAGGTGTGTATGCTCTTACAATAAAAACTGACTGCGCTACAAACCTAGAAACTATAAAAAGCATTCATTCTTGTAGTCTTCTAGTTCAGGAAATACTCAGAATGCTTTTATACTTCCCACTTAACTCAAGATCCTACCTGTACTGAATACCAGCAACACAGGTACTGAAAGCAATAAGCTGAATAACTTACTTAAGCTGCAGACAAGGATTTCTGTAGGTTGGGTAACTCGTCCCTCTTCTTGTTAGCTATCTCTCAACCGAGTACTCCAAGAATGGAAATATCAACTTAGTGCTTTCAGAATGGAAATCTCCCTTCCGACTTCCTTACTGAAAACAATTACAGCTCAATTCTTGGAACAGAAATGGCACGAACATTGAGATTCCGACCCAAGAGATACAAAAATACTTTTTCCCCCCTCAGCCGTCAGTTCCACCCTTATAAGCAAACACGCTGCCCTTTATATAGTTTTTTCATTGGGTACGGGCCTTTGCTACTTGTTTGGTTGGCTTTGGACAGTGAGACGATGGACCCTGCCCGAAACACTACATCGGAGATCTGGAAAGCTACATCTCTGACTATAAACTAATTCATCAGGCAAACTTGAGAAAAGTCGAGCAACAGTAAATTCAGTGCTTGGGTAGTCACCAACACCCCATCACAAGCTCAAAGCAAAATCAATGAGACTATTTGTACTGTCTATTCCATTTGCTAAGACATCGAATTGTAACAATTTCATTAATTTCTAGCTCTATCAAATTATACACTTAATGCACATTTTGCTATTATAAACAACTAGTCCCAATACACATAGAACGGTTACCGATATTCTGCTTTCATAAGCTGTCATAGAATTCCGATGAGCTGGCATAAAATCCTTGTGGCTTAAACAGCTTACTGAGTAGCCTTCTCTTCTGTGAAAAAAGAACTCAAGATATACTAATGACTATTACTTATTTTCTCATTTATTCACACTTTCATGTTACGGTACTTTCGGTTCCTCACTTTCCAAACTATACTTTTTAACTACGTTTATACGTATTGGACTTAAAACATAAGCATCAGTGGGATCGGACTCGATTTCCGAAGAGGGCTTGGATGTTTTTAAGTGCATAGTATTCTGGCGGCACGCGGGCATTTAAAATAATTGACGAGGCGAAAATCCTTTGGAGTGATCTGGTGGCAGGTGAAAAGGGATCTCTTACCCGGGAGATTCTTCTTCAAAACTGAGATGGTAATGGGAAAAGTCATACTGTCACGTATCAGTTGCAGAAAGCACATGCCAACGACAGACGCAACCTGCGTTTCTCGCCAAGATAAAATTTATGGTTTTGTTCTCATGTTATTATCAGACAAGCCACAACAACAAAAAAAAAAAAAAAATGTCAGTACTGCGTTATCAAAAAATATTTTATAGAAAACACTATAATTAAAATCTATTTTAATATATTAATCTATTTTAAAGAGTGAAAAGTATTATTAACTTACGTCTACGTGCACCATGCTATCCATACTGAGACTACGTCTGATAAAGTCTTCACTGACAGATGTCATAAAGTGTTCTCCTGCCACGCAGCAAGAAGACCTCCGAGCATCTTGTATGCTGCCATACGTGGTTCTTCGTAGATAGTCCTCCTCAGTAAAAGAACAGTGAATGCGATCATGAAAATTAGTAGCTGCGACTGGAGGGCTAGAACGATCAGTGACGAGCTGGAAAAGAGTTGCACAAATTTAAAATTTGCGAATGAAAGCAACACTTAAAAATTAAAACAGCCATAATGAATTAAAATGAAAGCAAGGTTTGACACATTTTTCACATTTTAGCGTGAAAATTACCATCTGGGTGGTCTTGTTTTAATGCTTCCAAGAAATCTTTGCAATTATTTAACATTTTTAGAGGATTGACATTTTTTAATAATCTCAGTAATGGACTTCATATTTTAGTAAATTATTTTTTTTTCATGAGCAAAGTGGAATTTTGAATGTTTTAAGTTTACATTCCTTTTTTCGCATATATCAAATATTATTTTAAGATTTCAAAACGTTCTTAAAACTTATATTTTGGGGAAATACTATGATGTTATCAAAATAATTCCGAACAAACTGAATTTGATATTTATTTAAAATTTATCTAAAACCTCTTGGAAAAATAGCTGGGCAATTTTTCCAGTCAAAAGGTAACGCGTTCAATTCATAAAAAAACCAAAATTTGTTTGTAAAGGCTAATTTTTCAATATATTTTTCATTTAATTTTATTTGTCAATAACCAGATACTAAATCTAAGGCAGAAAATACTTTTGCATTTGTTAATTGGTCTAGTGCCGCATCTTTTTTGGGTGTGGGTTACGAATCTGTTTCAGTAATTTGGTTAAGTTTCTTGTAATCAACATATAACCTAGTTTCAGCAATTTTATCTCTTTTATGGGCTATAAGTTACAGGGACAGCGTAGGGGCCAGATGATAGTTTTATGATACCTGCATGTTGTAACTCTTCTACTTGTTTTTTAAATTCATCATTATCTTTAACGGATGTTCTGGTCTATAAGTTACAAGAAACTCAGAAGTTAATATTACTTTTGGAAGTTCAATACTAATACAACCCATATCATATTTACTTTTCTGCAAATATATGACTGTAATTACTTAATAGCTCTTTCATTTGGGCATTTACACAAGAATTTTCAACGTTATTAAAGCAGTTCTTTTCAGTATTTTCACATAAACATAAGAAATTACTCTTAAAAGGATTATTTAATTACACACCTTCACTTACAATCCTTTCAAATCGGTATACTTCATATTTAGTAAAATAAAGTTCCAATTTAAATAAAGAAACACAAGAAGACAGCAATAAATAATTTAAATGAGAATTTACGACATAAATTACCCCATTTTTAATTACTCTTCCAAAATTTTGAATAAACGTTGAACTAACTTAGCGACAGGAAGATCTAAAAAAAAAAAAAAAAAAAAAAAAAATTATCCTGAAGTTTTATTTTATAGAGTTTCAAAATTATCAGTACAATATAAGTATTTCCAGAAATCACATTAATCTGACTACCTGTATCTATATTAGCCGGGAAGTTACTATTATTCCCTACCTTAACATAAGTAACTTAAATTATTGTCATTTTTTATGTGAAGTTTGATTTTGATATAAATTATAATTTAAAGCTGCATATTGTGAATTTGGATATTTCAATAGTGGTGGCTGCATTTCTCCAGACCGTATTTTGAAGCAAATGTGACCTATAGTAGAATGAAACGTGGAGTATTTTATCTTGGATAGTTAAAATATGGACGAGGGTTCTATCTATATGGTTAGAAAATATGAGCACATTACTAGTGCTTTGTGGTTCTTGAGGTGAACCTGAAGTTGGAAATAACTTTTTTGTTAGGGAAATCCAATTCTGAATTTAGCTTATGTTTTGCACAGACAGTAACTTACTGTAACTTGGCAAAATTATCATTAAAGACTCACTAAGAATGTCACCACTGAAATGTAATGCAGGAACATAATTTTTGACTGAAATACTTACCAATATCTTTAAACCTGTTATACGTAACCGAAACGAAGTCACCAAATGTTATATTTTCTAAATTAAAAAAGTAAATTAAAAATTTTCCTTTTAATGCATTCCAATCTTTAATTTCAACACATACGTGGATATAAAATATCAAGGTCTAGCCTTTAAAAAAAAAACCTAGAAATATAGCAAATTTATATTTGTCAGAAACACCTTTCGTACTAAATCGTTTTTCAAAAAACATTAATTACACTTTTCAACTCTAATAATAATGCTTTTCACTCTTTAAAAATAGCACTGATTTTGAAGACCAAATATAATGAGTTCAAAGCAGGACTTTCATTTTTTGACGTCGAAAAACAAATTTGATGTTTTACTCGATGATATTTAACTTTCAGACCGACGAATATATTCCATAGCATACCTCATAGATTGACGTTGTCCTAATTTGAAATCGCTCATTAATTTAATAGCACTTTTCCCTCTTTTTTTTTTTTTTTTTTTTTTTTTTTTTTTTTTATTTGAGCTTCGGTCGTAAAACCACATTTCATTTCATTCGTTAGACTTTTGAGCTCGTAAAGCTACTTCTTCTGTAGGTAACGTTTCGTTGATACATACCTGGGCATGTTGAAAGACACACAAGTAGGACCACAGTATCTGTCGGCTCTTCTTAAGTGTAGCTTCTTAACGTATCTCTCCTTAATAAATCCTGTAGATATTTTATGATTCTTTATGGCGTGTATAGAATGACAGAGATGCGTAGATCCATAGGATGTATAACGTGAGGCGCCTGGCAGGAGAATTTAGGACCCGTAGGGGTTGCACCAGGCAGAATATGATTAGAGTTGGCCCTGACTCATCTTATACCTTGTGCAATAAGTACTGACAGAAAAAATTTCTTTTGGTAATTTTAAATTTCTTTTAAACCCTTTAAAGCAACATGGTTACCTTTTAGAGTGATATCATCTTTAACTTAATCCGTTCAAAGAAACAAATTCAAAGATAGTTGTATATTTGTTCGAAAAACATAAATAATTTTAATTCCATTTCCAGAAGAAATAGCCGCCCATACGGTATAGTGGTTAGGGAGCCTAGCGATATCGAAGGGCCCGGCTTCGAATTCCAGAGAAGCCATGGATGTTGGTAAATGTATAGTGTCTGTGCGGCATGGAGGCAGTCTAAATATGCGGCGAGCCGAAAGTCCTCTCGAGAGGTTGTTGGTAGGGTAAGAGGGATGGGAAATCCTCGGATTTGTCCTGGCGGTGCTCTCCTTCCAAACGGGGGTGGAAATTCCCGAAGGCGTACTGTCACCTGTATGGTGCTCAAGGCTGTTGCCAACGGCAGGCGAAATCTTGCTTTCCTTGCTAGGATTAATTTCTTTGGCTTGTTTTGATGTCAATGTCAGGCAAGTGAGATAAGCCACAACACAACACAACATACAAAAGAAATACATCTATTTTTTAAAATTTATTCAGTAAGAGTACACTTAATTATTAGGCTAAATTAAAAGGCTAAGGAGAAGCGTTAAACATAAGCTTTTAAATATCATTTAAATGAATTGCCTGTGTCATCTATTCTTAAACGAATTACTGAAATTTAAGGACACCTTTAATTTATAAATTAAAAGAATAAAATACAGACTGACTTTTTTCCAAATATTGTTAGGAAGTTCATAACAGATAATTTTTATTTGCATTTCCTTGAAAATTTTAAATGCTTATCGATAGTTTCTCTAATTACATTATAACCACATAATTTAACATTTAATGTTTTCTAAAAATATTTCTTAGCAAAAATTGAATTAGAAGCTTAGCTGAAATTAAATCTACTAATTAATTGGCTAAAATTACTGCTTCTATTAATATGAAATATGAGTGCATAATATGAAATAGGAGTGCTGTTTCTGTTAATATGAATTTCAACTAAAAGCTGTCTTTATAGTTTCAAGTAACAGTCTAATTTAGAGTTTAAACATATTGCTCTAGATTTATGTACTTCAGCAAAGCACATAGCAGTATTTACGTGTAAGCTACACAAGCTATAGCTTAAGACACCCGCTTTCTTAGAAGCTCCCAGAAAAACCCTCTAGGTATCTGAAAATCATATTTGTCAATGACATAATATCTGGACTTATAAAGAGCCCTATATCTCAAATAGCTTAGGGCCTTATTAAGTCTAAATCTGGCCCTGGCAAAGCATACTGAAAATTTGAAAGTAGTAATATAGTCTTAAAAAGAACACATTTAAATATTTGATGTTATGTTGTGGAAGGTAAAAGGCAAAAGAGCTATGTTGAAGAAGATTTCAAAACCTTTTTCTTTATCATAAGGTGGTGTGGTGTATTTAATTATGGCAAAGGACACTAGGGCTATCTGCCTAAGGGGGAGAGATGCCTTTGTGGAGGACTTTCTAAGGGAAACTGGCTCGTATACACGTTACACATGGGGAAAACCACGAAAACGCCCATGCAGCCAGCCCGTTCGCGGGATTCGAACCTCGGACCGAACTACCAGTGTTCAGCGACTTTACCGCTTTATCATAAGAAAGAGAGTAGTTTGAACAATTCATTTTAAGAAAAGTTTTATTTTCTTTCTGAAGTGAACTGCTTTCACAAAGCGATTTATTTTGTTAATATACTGCTTGATAGAAAAGCTATTTTATGCATCAAAACTTGCTTTTAGGCAGTGTGAATGAGGCGTAATATACTGAATGCTGAGCGACTGCAATACAAAATATACGGAATACTGAGGAAAAATAATTTATACTCTTTTTTTCAACATACCACAGAGATTGTAATCTTATTACCAAACAATGCTTTGTCTTCCAGTGCTTCTAAGTACATTGGATTGCAGAGAAGTTGCATGGTTTTTCTATTTTTATATGATAATTATTTTTATATCTTTTTGGGTAAACAAAGGTAATAAAAATACTGCGTACAAGTAATGAAAGTAGATATTTTGATGCAAAACGCAGCATGGTCGCTATATCAATGTCGCAGCTGAGAGAAGTATTAAACCACAAACTGATATTGACCTTATCGACTTGGTTTATGATTGATTTGGTTTATAATTGACACCAGATTTAATTTATATTATCGAGAGAGAAATATCTATTTATAAAATTCTAATAATAACAAAAGAGAAGACATTTCTGGAAAAATATTCTGGATAAAAACTAAAATTG